CCTGTTCAGTTCTAAAGAGAATAGAAGCTTTCGCTTTCATTTTTAACTAACCACAGGTGGTGGTGGTGGTGGTGGTTGTTATATTTAAAAAACCCAATTTCATACTGCCCATTAGGTGACAGAATCCTAGGGCAGTTTACAATTGCACATTAAAACAGCAATAAAACAAATTCTAAATCAGTCTTCCAAATAATTAATACAACTACACAATTAAAATGAGATGTATAGCTGCAGTAAACTGATTGCTTTTCTTGTGGCTGATCTCATCCAGAGATTCTGTTTTGTTCAGTATTCTGTGAAGGCCTGGGCAAAACACTGTCTGGATGGCACCAGAATTACAGTAGTGAAGGTACATTATGCACCTTTCGGAGGGGGCAGTTCAATAAATGTGTGCACTACAGAGAAAGCCCTCTCTAGAATCACTGCTGAGCTAAGCTGTCAATGAGATCCAATGGCTCAGGCAGGCTGATATAGGCAGAAGCACTCCTTCAAGTATTTGGGTTCCAAGTTCTTTAGAACTTATAGGCAGACGTCTGAGGCCCAGGGCATGAATTTTGTTAGAACAAATTTATAAACTCAAAAAAGCAGCCAGTCCCTAGTCCCTCTGAGGCCCAGGGCAAGTGTACCCGGCTGCTTCCACTTCTGCACAAGCCTGCTTATAAGCTAACAAACACCCTGAATTGATTCCAGTAACATTTGGCAATAAGTGCAACACCACTTAGAATCCTTGCAGCTCTATTTTACACTAGCTGCAGCTTTCAAGTATTCAAGGGCAGTCCCTTGTAGAACATGTTAGAGTAATCTAATTAGAAGGTTACTAGGGCATGGGCTGCTAGGCTATCCTGGTCTAGGAATGACCATAGCTGGCAAACTAGCCATAAATGCTGATAGACACTCTTAGCCATTGAAGCCACACACACCAGCACCTATACCATCTGACCAGCTTATGGAAAAATAGAGTCACGTTTCATCAGTATATTGGTGATGCTATGCTCCATACTTCCTCAATAGCTCTCACCATGGTTTCATTAAACAGCAGTGGGAACAGAATAAAACCCTGCAGGACTCTTCTGCTTAACTGTCAAGGCACCTAGAAGAAGTCTCCCAATGTTTATTGTCTGGAGACAGCCCTGCTGGAAAAACACCCACCATATCACAGTGCCTCCAGTCCTCAACCTCCAAAAGGACACTTAGGGTGGGTGGTATCAAGCTTTTGAGAGATAAATGAGGATCTACAAGGTTGCACACTCTCTGTCTCTCTCATAATAAGTCATCAACCAGGGCAATTTTAGTGCCGAACCATGACTAGAGTGGGTCTGAACCAAACTAAACTGTGGTTAGTCTTAAGCCAACTTCAAACCATAGAGTATAAAGAATAAGGTGTCTTGAGGAGGCAAGCCATATGCAACTTGTTACTCAGTAAAAATTGAACTTCTGTGGATAACTTGGAAACTTTGTCTGAGCTTCTGGAACTTCCAGGCCCAGCGGAGATTTTAGGGATCCCAAAATATATTGATGGAAGAAACAGATATTTGCAAATCATTAATTTATTGCTCCCCCTGGCGACTCATTGACTGAGCTTGTTGAGGGCTGGAATACCCAGCTCCTGGCAGCCATCGATGAGATCGCACCTAAGCGCCCTCTGCGACCCCGCAGAAACCGGGCTCCCTGGTTTACCGAGGAGCTTCGGAAAATGAAGCGGGACCTCAGACGGCTAGAGCGAGTATGGCGGGGTGCCCGTGACGGAGCCTCAAGAACATCTTATAGGGTTTTTATGAAAACCTATGAGATGGCAGTGAAGGCCGCTAAGAAGTCTTACTTCTCAGCCTCCATTGCATCCGCTAGCTCTCGCCCGGCGCAATTATTTAGTATAATTCGGTCTTTAACGTCCCTTGAAGGACAGCCAAATTTAAATAACAATCTGACACACAGCTGTGAGGCATTTACGAGCTTTTTTGCGGAGAAGGTCCTGTTGCTCCGCCATGACCTCCCTGCCAATTTGGATACAATAAAGGAACTGGAGGCCCCTCGACTGTCCTCGGGTCCAGTATTGGACCACTTTGACTGGATATCTCCAGCCGATGTGGACAGATTCCTCCAAGCTGGAAAGCCCACCACCTGTCCTCTTGACCCGTGCCCATCATGGCTGATTAGAGCGTGTCCAGACGAGGTGCGGGCCCCCCTGGGGGACATCATCAATTTGTCCCTTGGCACCGGGATATTCCCAGGGGAATTGAAGGAGGCGGTGGTGCGTCCGCTCTTAAAGAAAACATCATTAGATCCCTTAGATCTATCCAATTACCGCCCGGTCTCGAATCTTCCACTCCTGGGTAAGGTGATTGAGAGAGCGGTTGCTGAACAGCTTGGTAGGTTTCTGGATGAAACATCTGCTCTGGATCCATTCCAGTCTGGCTTCTGCGCTGGTCATGGGACTGAGACGGCTCTGGTCGCCCTAACAGATGATCTCCGCAGGCAGCTGGATCGAGGCGGGTCGGGGCTGCTGATTCTTCTAGATCTGTCAGCAGCCTTTGACATGGTCGATCACGAACTCTTGGACCACCGCCTTGCCGACGTGGGGATCCAGGGCACAGTCCTTCAATGGCTGCGCTCGTTTCTCTCTGGCCGGGGACAGAGGGTGGCACTTGGGGGGGAATTGTCATCGCACCACTCCTTGGTGTGTGGAGTGCCTCAGGGTGCGATTCTCTCCCCGATGCTTTTTAACATCTTTATGCGCCCCCTCGCCCAGCTTGTCCGGAGTTTTGGGCTGGGTTGCCATCAGTATGCTGATGACACCCAACTCTATCTGTTGATGGATGGCCATCCTGACTCGGCCCCAGACACACTGACCAGATGTCTGGAAGCTGTGGCTGGATGGTTACGTGGGAGCCGGTTGAAGTTAAATCCTTCGAAGTCAGAGGTCCTCTGGCTGGGGCAGGACGATATGGGATCGAGGGGGCAACTCCCATCTCTTGCGGGGGTGCAATTAGTGCCAGCACCGTCCGTTAAGAGTTTGGGTGTAATCTTCGATACCTCCCTCTCTATGGAGGCGCAGATTACAGCTATAACAAAGGCGGCATTTTTTCATCTCCACCAAGCTAAGCAGCTGGCCCCTTATCTCTCTCGCCCTGACCTAGCCACTGTGATCCATGCGACGGTCACCTCCAGACTGGATTATTGTAACTCGCTCTACGTGGGGCTGCCCTTGAGACTGACCCAGAAACTCCAGCGGGTGCAGAATGCCGCGGCGAGACTCCTTATGGGGTCTTCGCTGCGAGATCACATTCATCCGGTACTATACCAGCTGCACTGGCTCCCGGTGGAGTACAGGATCAGGTTTAAGGTGCTGGTTTTAACCTTTAAAGCCCTATACGGCCTAGGACCCTCGTACCTACGGGACCGCCTCTCCTGGTATGCCCCACAGAGAAACCTACGGTCTGCAAATAATAACATCCTCAAGGTCCCAGGCCTCAGAGAGGTTAGGCTGGCCTCAACTAGAGCCAGGGCCTTCTCGGCTGCCGCTCCAATCTGGTGGAATGCTCTGTCGCAAGAGACTAGGGCCCTGCGGGACCTGACTTCTTTCCGCAGGGCCTGCAAGACAGAGTTGTTCCACCAGGCCTTTGGTCAGGGCGCAGCCTGACTCACTCCTCTGGCAACCTGCACAGAATTTTGCCTAATCGGTTGCCATCAATTTGATTTTAATTAATTTTTATAATGAAATATTTTTAGAATGTGTGATTATTTGACTGTTTGTTTATTTGATTGTTGTTAGCCGCCCTGAGCCCGGCTTCGGCTGGGGAGGGCGGGATATAAATAAAATTTATTATTATTATTATTATTATTATTATTATTATTATTATTATTACATGAATAGGCTGGCTGACTTTAGTTTCAGTAGGGTAAAAAGTGGCTTTTGCTGTTGCAACAAAAGCCAGCCTCAACATCTGGCGATAGGGACATGGCCATTCAGTTCCAATCCGCATGTCAGGCAAATACCTTATTGCAGGGATCAGCAAACAGTGGTCCACAGTGTGTCTGTGAAGAACACTTAATATTTGAGTTCTTTGAACTTCAATGTATTCAAATTGTAATATAATAAAATACAATACAGTGGTACCTCGGGTTAAGAACTTAATTCGTTCTGGAGGTCCATTCTTAACCCGAAACTGTTCTTAACCTGAAGCACCACTTTAGCTAATGGGGCCTCCTGCTGCTGCCACGCCGCCGGAGCACGATTTCCGTTCTCATCCTGAAGCAAAGTTCTTAACCTGAGGTACTGTTTGTGGGTTAGCAGAGTCTGTAACCTGAAGTGTTTGTAACCTGAGGTACCACTGTATAAGAAATAAAGAAGTAATAAAAATACAATTAAAAATGATACAGCACCTAGCACAGCACATTACAATTTCTACAACAGACAGAATAAACATCAAATGGTCCAACAAGACACTCAGCAATTTTCAAGTGACCTATGGGGGGAAAGTTTGGGAAGAGGGTAAGGGCTGGGTAGATTAATTTTAATCAGTGATTTAAATTGGCAAGAAAAAAGACTGTTTTAAATCAAGTTTCCAATTGATAACTGTTTCATATATTTCTTAAACAAATCTGACAAAATCATGCTAATTTTCAATTCGACATACAGTGGTACCTTGGGTTAAGTACTTAATTCATTCCGGAGGTCCATTCTTAACCTGAAACTGTTCTTAACCTGAAGCAACACTTTAGCTAATGGGGCCTCCTGCTGCTGCCACGCCGCCGGAGCACGATTTCTGTTCTCATCCTGAAGAAAAGTTCTTAACCCAAGGTACTATTTCTGTAATCTGAAGCGTATGTAACCTGAAGCGTATGTAACCCGAGGTACCACTGTATTGTATAGTGTTACTTACGCAGTTGCTTTGTTCTTACAATCAGACCTTTCATCTCTTCGTTGCAGTGTGTAAATTTTGTATGCTTTTTTCACCTATGGGGGAAAGTTTTTAACGTATTTATACATATATTTTGACTAGGTTCAAGCCGTTTTTTCCATTTCAAGTTGTGCCACCTGAAGAATTTAGAGATTGGAATCTCAGTATACAAAATTTTTCACTAACTGAAGGACGACTGAAAGTTTCCTTAATAGAATGTTCAAGGTACGTTCTTGGTACTCTCTGCATGTCTGGTTTCACTGAATGTCTTCCATTGGATTTCCATTGTGGATTGTGGAATGTGACTGTAGCTCTTAAAAACAAAATGAGTTTGTTAACCAACACTATTTAAAATTAATTCCTAAATATGTGTTCCTTTACATTAGTTTGCTTTTCTCTGCTAATTACAAAGACGATTAGGAGCTGTTGCTCGCAGCTTCTATTAGCACATTTTCTTTTCTTTTTTTGTATCTTCGAAAATGTATTTCAAATGAAGAATACCTTTTTCATTTTGTTGGTGTTCTAAATAGAGTAGGAATAGACTGTAACTGTAACACTGCTTCATGCTTAAGTATTAATGGTGCAATCGAGTGCTTGCTGTGTTCAGTGTGGTTTACTGCCATGTAAATTTGTATAGAAATACTGCCTTAGCACTTCTTGAGCAAAAATGAGTAACTCTGTCAAGCAGATCTTTAGATAGCAATTCAAATTTAAAATGTATTGTCAACCCTTAAAACTCATGACAATTGCAATTACTGATCTGGTCTACTGAAATCTAAGGCTGGTTGATTTGGAGGCCGGGGATGATTAGCTTTTTGTTATGAGCACAGCTTTGTTTAGTGGATTCTATAACAGAGCAAATATTCAGAGTACCGTATTTTTCGCCCCATAGGACGCACCGGCCCATAGGACGCACCTAGTTTTTTGGGGGGGAAATAAAGGAAAAAAATTTTTATTTCCCCCCAGGTGCGCTGTGCTAAACCCGAAGCTTGGGGCGTGCGGAGCTCAGCGCCCCCAAGCTTCTGGGTGCTGGCAAGGTCTCCGCTAGCCATGGGAGAGCCGCGCAGCTCTCCCAGGGCTAGCGGAGCACTGCGCTAATCCCGAAGCTTGGGGCGTGCGGAGCTCCACGCGCCCCAAGCTTCTGGGTCCTGGCAAGGTCTCCGCTAGCCGGGGGAGAGCCCCGCGACTTTGCGCGGCTCTCCCACAGGCTAGCGGACCGCTGCGCTAATCCCGAAGCTTGGGGCGTGCGGAGCTCAGCGCGCCCCAAGCTTCTGGGTGCTGGCAAGGTCTCCGCTAACCGGGGGAGAGCCCCACGACTTCGCGCGGCTCTCCCACGGCTAGCGGACCGCTGCGCTAATCCCGAAGCTTGGGGCGTGCGGAGCTCAGCGCGCCCCAAGCTTCTGGGTGCCGACAAGGTCTCCGCTAGCTGTGGGAGAGCTGCGTCTCCCACGGCTAGCGGATAGCTTCCTGAAGCCTGGAGAGCGAGAGGGGTCGGTGCGCACCGACCCCCCTCGCTCTCCAGGCTTCAGCGAAAGCCTGCATTCGCCCCATAGGACGCACACACATTTCCCCTTCATTTTTGGAGGGGGAAAAGTGCGTCTTATAGGGCAAAAAATACGGTACTTGTTGACAGTTGCACTTACAACATCAAGTTTATAATACTAATAGCTCCCTGCCTCTGATATCTGCAAGGTTTTAATTGTTGAAAGATTCTAAAAACAGAACTGATGATAGGAGCTGTCAAGCAGATGAAATACAGATCATTCACTTGACAGAGTAATGTAAAGTATAACATCAAAATAGCAGACAGCAGTATATGAATTACATTTTATCCGCTGGTATTTTAATATTTTAGTGTGCAAGACAAATCCGTCCTCCTTGCTGATGAGTCCTTGCAGAGCTACAGCCCAGCAGCTCATGGCAATGGGATTGAGAAGGACTATTGGGCCTGATCCTTTTGCCAGCTCTAGGCTTCAGACTGTGCATGATGCTGTTGTGATATGGTAGTTAGACTTACTTGGGATCTGGTAGATCCTGGGCCGGCTTTTAAATATTATCATTATTTTTTCTTCCTATCACACCTCTTCTGTGATGGTGTTAGGTGTGCATGCCAGAATATGGATGCATGCATGTCTTGAGTACTAGGCTGTTAATACAAAATTGATCAATTAAAATATGATCAATTTTCTTCATTCTTTATCACTGTTACATATGTAGTAATAGTGCAAGATTCAACTTTCTGCCTACTTCAGTGTGCATGTTATGTTTTTGAGAAATTGAGAAACTGCATCTGAACAAGTTCATGTATCCTCCTTTCCCACTAGAGGGGGCAAGTGCTTTATAAAACTTCTGATGTTACTTGTGCTACATTTGTCAAGTAGAATCATGTGGGCTTAGCTATACATTCAAGTTATTTAATATTTTAAGGGGTTCCTTAATAAGGGCAAATGTTAAACCAATTACAAACAATGAATGATGGCTTAAAATATATGTTTGTGTTAATGCTACTGATATTCTTGTGTTGCAGATTACTTATTTTTGGATCCTATGAGAGAGAAGTATCTATTCATTGCACATTTGAATTGGGTGAAAAAGTTTGGGAAGAAAAAGAAAGATCTTTTATCAAGACGGTAAATTATATATATGCTATTTTATATTATTTTTATGTGATGGCTCATATTTCCCCTCATTTCACTTAATAACTTGACAAGCAAGCACAATTGAATACAAAGTACTCACTTCTTGTCTCTAAGAAGTTCATGAGATAAAACCAATAGGAAACCCCTCCACCTTTAAGAATATGCACATGAAGTAGCTATGTAACCTTTTACCCAATTACATCAAAAATTTTGTTTAAATAAATAGCACTGAAATAATACTATGAATACAGTGTATCAAAATATTAAGGGCAGGATCTATTTCTCACACACTCACCTACACCGCTCCCCACATTCTTTGAGAGAGATTTCTGCAGATCCCAATGGAAATCTTCCCTGTCAATTCTTGGGCCATCTAATGGACATAAGGATTGGCCCTTGTGCTCTTCCTGTACAGTTGTTGTTTTCCTCCCTGGGCCCCTGGCCTTCAAATTACAGTCATACCTTGCAAGTCAAATGGAATCCATTCCGGAAGTCTGTTCGACTTCCAAAATGTTTGAAAACCAAAATGCGGCTTCTGATTGGCTTCTAAAAGCTCCTGCAGCCAATCGGAAGCAGCGTTAGCCCTATCGGACATTCAGCTTCCAAAAGTAGTTTGCAAACCGGAACAGTCACTTCTGGGTTTGCGGCATTGAGGAGCCAAAACATTTGGGAACTAAGCTGTTGGACTTCCAAGGTACAATTGTACTTGAATCCCAATCTTTAGTAGTGGGCAGATGTCCGAGGGAAATAAGCAACACTTGGTGAAAGTGCGGGAGTCGCATTGGTCTCCCTATTCTGTGTATCAGCTCCTTTTTGCACAGAGGGCCAGTAAGGGGAAGCAATCTGAATACATCTGGAGGTTTCTGCAGGATTTCTTTTGCAAATAAATACCACCTGCCCACAACCCAATTGTGTACTTTGTAAATATGTGTTTCTTCCCTTAACATACATAGTAGTTACATACATTTCAACACCAGATGGCAGTATTACTACACATATAACTAGACAGCAGAGTAGGAATTAGACCAGCAGGAAAGAGAGAACTGTTTTAAAAGAAGTTAAAAACTGATGATGATGTGTGTGTTGTGTTTTAACCTACAAGATGTTTATTCTTGGCATTATGGTGATACCAGAAACCAATTACTCAAATTGAAAAAATGTGTAAAACCAGGGTGGATTTGATTTAAATCGAATCGATTTAAATAACGATTTAAATCACTAGTCAGCAAGGCTTGATTTAAATCATTTTTTACAGAAAGGTTCAACCCTGCTGGCATCCTCTTAATATTTACAACCAGAGGAAGGTTTCATTTTTGGAATAATAAATGTTCAGCGTAGTTTTTACAGTTACATCAAAAAATTACTGATTTGGTTATACATAGACAGATAATTATGAAATTATTGTTTATATTTGGACAACTTTTCAGCTGTACTTTATTGGAAGGAAGAAGAAGAAGAGTTTGGATTTGATATCCCGCCTTTCACTCCCTTTAAGGAGAAAAATAATCATTTCCTTAATAACAATTTAAACAATTTATTTAACTAAAACAATAACATTATAGCATATGTATCTATGTTTGTTAACCGATGTGGTTAAACAATTGAAAAAAACCCTTAGACTGAGTTTTAGCACACATGAAAAACTTGAAACAAATCCTCATTTCCTGATGAATAGCCTTTGGGCTATAATGTAACTTAAATAGAAAACTATCTTTAGAAAGATTTTTCCTCCAAAAGCATTTTATTTTAAAAATCCAATTTAATTTTTTTAAAAAACTGATTTTTTAATTATTATTTTTTTAAAAACTTTGATTTTTATCCACCCTGTTTAAAACTCACTCAAGCTGCTAGTGAAAATACTCAGATTCTCCTTTACAAGCAGAACAATAGTCTGGAACATGAGTTGGCAGGGGACAAGATTAAGTTTGCAAGGAAGAGAGACTTCAAGCTAGATGAGTACTGTTTAAGGAAATATTTTATGTGTGGTGACATCAGTCAGGAGAGAGACAGAGGAAATGTGTCCTTGTTACTTCTCTTTGACCTCTCAGTGGCTTTTGATACCATTTGGGCATGGTATCCTTCTGGAGCGGCTCTCTGAGTTAGGGGTGGCACCGCTTTGCAGTGGCTCTGGTCCTACTTGGATGGTCGTGTCCAGAAGGTGGTGCATGGAAAGTATGTTGTCAGCAATATGCTGATGACACACAGCTCTACTTTTCCTTTACTTTTGTGGATGTGGCAGTGGATTTGCTAGACTGTTGTCTTGCCTTGGTAATGGACTGGATGAGAGCCAAGAAACTGAAGTTCAATCCAGATATGACAGGGGCATTGTTAGTGGGTGGTTCCCTGGACCGGATGGATGGGAAATTGCCTGCTCTTGATGGGGTTACACTCCCTTTGAAGGAGTTGGTATGCAGCTTGGGGGTACGCCTGGATCCTTTGCTGTCACATGAGGCTCAGGTGGCCTTAGTGGCATGGAGTGCCTTCCAACAGCTTCACCTGGTGGCACAGCTGCGCTCCTGTCTGGGCAGATATAGCCTAATTTCTGTTGTCTATGCTATGGTAACCTCTAGTTTACATTACTGGAACGCATCATAGGTGGGGCTGCCTCTGAAGATGGTTTGGAAACTTCAGGTGGTGCAGTTTGGCGGCCAGGTTGCTCACTGGGGCAAGACAGTTTGAGCATATTACACTGATCCTGGCTCGACAGCACTGGCTGTCAATTAGTTTTGTGTCCCGGTGAAAGTCCTGGTTTTCTCCTATAAAGCCTTAAATGGCTCAGGATTGCAATACCTGAAGGACCTCCTCTCCCCATATGAACTGACCAAGACCCAGTGATCATCATCTGAGGCCCCTTCTTTGTGTGCTGCGAGGGTGGCAACACGAGAAGGAGCCTTATCTGTGGTGGCAAAGCCAGTGACAACACTGTAGAGAGAGGTAGGATATCTTACACAGAGTATCCACAGGATCAGATGAAGCCACAGCCCTTCCATGCAAAAGTAATATTTGAATGGTGAGGATAGGCGACATAGCTCCATGGCAGAGCACATGCTTTGTAAATCAAAGATCCTTGGTTCAATCCTTACAACCTCCATTGTAATGAGAAATATTCTGATTTCCCCATACCACTGCTATTTTTTAAAATGTACACCTATAAACACTTATGTAGAAATTGATCCCACTGAAATAAATGAATTGTAATGGATTAGCATGTGAATAATGGCCCTTTGTGACCTAGAAACTAAATCACAGTATAGGGACCTCAAATGTCATAAGTCTGGATATTTTCAAACAATTTCTTGTTTTGCAAGTTTACAGAAAGAGCTAAATTTGTTCATGGGCAGTTGACAAAACAGTTTTTTCTTACTATAAATTGTCCTCTATAATTATTTCCAGTTGCAAAATACCCACCTTAGGTCTTGCTTTCATACTTTTGTTATGTAAGCAATGAGGATAAATTAGACAGCTTGATGTACAATGACTAAAAATAGTGAGACTTTAATCAAATCATGTCCCTTTACATATTGGTGTATAATTGATTTTGAACAAAGATTCTAGGTTATTAAACCTGTCCAGTGCATTACTTCAAATGTCACTTACAATGGAAGATGGATCTGTTTCAAGCAAATTTATATGGCGCATGGGCTGCAATTTTCCACATTGCCCCTAATATGCTAACATTGCAAATAAACCATTACATGGAGAAACCAAATGTACAAACGTATTAATGGGAAATAGTTGTGGTTGCACATGAATGCTGTTGAGATAGTTTGGGCATGGTAATAGTGAAACTGCATGTAGAATCAATACTATTATGTAACTCTGCAAAAGTTAAATACTTCAGATAAAATATTGTACATGAGAGGTCGCTACATATGGGGTTTCTGGATTTATTTATCCAGTTCAAAGTTGAGATTAATATGGTAGGTGAACCTATGAAGCTGCCTTACACCAAGTTATCTAGCTTGGTATTTACACTGATGGGCAGCAGCTACAGGGTTTCAGACCAGAGTCTTGCCTAACCCTACCTAGAGATGACAGGAACTGAGCCTTGGACCTTTCCCATGCAGTGCCCATAACCTATAACCAAGCTACAACCCTTTTCATATGTTGTTGGCTATGGAATATACAGTAGTTGTTGTGGTTGGAAATTTTCCATTTTCCATTACTAGATTGATTTTAAAACAAAAAAATTTCCTTCCAGTAGCACCTTAAAGACCAACTAAGTTAGTTCTTGGTATGAGCTTTCGTGTGCATGCACACTTCTTCAGATTGTTTTGACTATGGCAGACCAACACGGCTACCTATCTGTAACTAGATTGATTTTAATCAGTAGTTGGATATGAAGTAAGGCAGGACTTTCCTTTAGACTTTAGATGTTCTCCATTAAGTGACATTGAACAAACTATTTGTTAAAACTGAAACGTGGAAAATTAAACTAGTGTTAGTCTTTTTTCCAAACAAACAAATTGTTGAGTCTCCCGATTAACAAAGATTGCATTTTCATTGAATACCAAACCATGTTTTAACATTAACAGAATGAACCATAGTAAACCTTGGGTTTGCCTGCTATCTGCTCTCCTTTCTCGCACTGCTCTGAAGAGATGGTTTTGCTTCCACTGTAGACTAAATGCAATTGGTCATGCTTAGCCTTAACCACTGTTCCCCCCCCCCCTCAATAAAAATAGGTGCCAGTACTCACCATGAAGTTGTTAGAGTAAGTGCCACACTTTTTAACCAAAAAAAAAAAAGCACTGGCCTTAACTATGGTTAGTAGAAACAAGCCATCTTTGAACCCTGGGTTATGCAGCTGACTTGCTTATGCTAAACATAGTTAAGGTTAGTCACGTTTTAGGGTTTCAACAAAGCCAAACTGTAGCTAATCTTAAACAGAAGTAGATGCTTCTGATCTTCAGTTGGTCACTTTAGAGGAGGAGGAGGAAGGAGTGCACAAGCTCCTCATACTGCTTTCTCTCATAATGCTGAAACATAGT